CATACATAATACTTCATGAGCAGTTAGCCGCTCTGAAGGCCGCATGCATAACATCTTCCGGATGAGATCTTTTGCACTCTCAGATATTAAGGGCCAAGGGTCTGACTCAAAATCAATGTGCCCTTTCAGAACTGCATCAAATATCCCCTGTTGTGTTTCTGAAGAATTAAGATGGTAAGTGTACAAAGACAAAAACCAGAAAATTGACAGCTATGCTGTATAGGATTGTAACATGCATACCGGCCCAAAATGGTGGAACACCACTAAGCAGGATGTAGAGTATGACCCCTGCTGTCCAAACATCTGCTTCAGGACCATAATGCTTCAAAAGCACCTCAGGAGCAACATAATATGGACTCCCGACCACATCCGTGAAAATCTGGCCTGGAGGAGCAACCAACAAAACTCGTCAAACCAACATTACAATAAAAAAAGATATACTCCTGTGGCACCAAATGAATGTCAAAAGGCAACTAATTATAGGAAGAGAACAAGGTAGCTAAGATGTGGAGATTGACCTGGTTTAAAGAAGACAGAGAGTCCAAAGTCAATGGCCTTGAGAGAGAAATCATCATCCTTGTTAACCAACAAGAAATTCTCAGGTTTGAGATCTCTATGCATAACTCCAAGGGAATGGCAAGCCTCCACAACACCTACAATGATTTTAGTCAATTCTGCAGCATTTTTCTCCGTGTAGTGACCTCTTTGAATGATGCGGTCAAACAATTCACCGCCACTACAAAGCTCCATGACAATATGAACATACAAAGGATCCTCATAAGCACCCTTGATGGAAACGATGTTCTTGTGACCTGCCAAATGGTGCATTATCTGAATTTCCCTCCTCACATCTTCAACGTCCTCCTTCGAGATGAGTTTTCTCTTGGCAATAGATTTACAGGCGTACTCGATCCCCGATGACAACTCGGTGCATAAGTAAGTGGTGCCAAACTGGCCTTGTCCTAGTTTACGACCCAGGGTATAGAGATCGCGGATGTTAGGGGTCTTATGACCCAGCACGTAATAGGACTGGTTGGCGCCTGTGCGATTCATCTCTTTTCTGAGAGGTAAATTATTAGGAGGAGGTTGTGGTTGTGACTGTTCTTTTTGGGAGGTGGGGGTGGGGGTGGGAGAGGGAGAATCAGAATCCAGATTGGTGCGCTTGGAATGGTCTTGGGGGGACTGAGCAAAAGTTTTGCCTCCGAAAGATCCACGGCATGTATTGCCCATCAAACAATCACAATCCCCAGCCCTCAGCTCAACAAAGCTTTCCTCATCCAATCCTCCTTGTTTCCTTTTTCGCATCCAAAACTTATAGAAAACAATGATTGATAGATCTAACACAAAAGAAGGGAAGCACGTAGCAGGTGGAGGAAGACGGTCAATTCTATCGCTACTGCTGATGACCAACAAGAGGAAGAAGAAGATGATATACGGAGGTCAACTCCTGAACATTGTACCGATCTACTCTCCTACTAGTATTTTATTTAGGAAAAACAAAATCTACTTGTAATTTCATGCGACTTCTGAAATAATAAATATTAAGTAATTAATGTTAAGGGTAAAACAGAAAAAATAAATTGTTTTGCGAAAATTAACAAGTAAAAATGAAAATTTATTTTTAGAATATTTGATAATTAAAAGTGAACGGAGATAATAGTTTATTATGTATTAATTAACTATTGAGTTATAGAATATGTAGAAAAAAATATACGAGAAGATTATATAAAACTAATCATGATGATAATACCATTAAACACATAACATTTGTATTAGTAATTGCAAAAGTGTTTGAACTGCTCCATCAAGCATACTTTATTCTTAATAATGTGTTTATCTTTATGGATATTGTAACTTTGTGTGGGACTAGAGACAAGGTGGGAAGAGGGTTGATCTGATGGTAAGCAAGCTCCACTTTCAATCGAGAGGTTGTGAGTTCGAGTCTCACCAAGTGGGATTATACTGGATTGTTGTTGTTGTTGCGTGGGACCGGAGAGAGCGCGTTCTTAACAATTGGGTGGGATACCACTTCCAGCTCTAACGTCTGACTATTCAACGCATCACATTGCTGACATTGGAAAACCACTCAAGTCTTTTGCTACATCCAAACATTTCTACGCTTCAACCTAAACTAGTAGTCCACTGGACACTGGCTTTGGCGGTTGGCTCCAGTCCAGCCACCCTTACTTGCATAAACACTACTATTAGCACCAGTTGTGTCCCCACTTCCAAATTTCTTCATCTTTTTTCCTCCAAAAATAGCCTTACATTAACGACTCGTTTGTGTATGGATAGAATCTGATCAAACGAGAATTTGCGTGAAGAGGAACGGCGAAAAGTCACTTGGGCCGAAGTCGTATTCATACAACACTATAGCGACAAGCACCTCAGCCACGGCCGAGGTCGTGTACTCAGAATGCTTGTACGGCGAATTGGATATTACGGCATTTCAGAGGGTCAACCGGTGATACAGTTAAATGACTTAGGTATTCTGGCTAATGATCGTTGTGTAAATGAGAATACCTAGTATATATACTAGGTGAGAGAATAAAGACAGGGGGGTTCACAAATCACACACTTCTTCACTGACAGGGGGATGGGAATTGGAGAATCCATCTCGTAAATGAGAGAAGGTTCAGAACCTTGCTATTCATTTTATGTAGTCACTGTTATGGAATAAACAAAGACATATCATGTGGTCATTAATGGTGAATCCTTTCTTTCTTCTTTATTTTACATAGTGGAGTAATGATGTCGAGAATGAACGTAAGCTCATCATACACATTAAATTTTTCCCATTATCTTAATGAGTTCATGAGGTTAACTTTACCCTCCGTTTCTTACTTAGCATTCATTGATCCAGAGTTAATTATCTTTGGCTAGGATTTATCCTCTCCTTCTTATTTAATTAGTTTAATAAAAGGTCTCACACTTTTTGGTCAAACAGTTTGGCCATAGATTTTGACGCCTTATTTTGAAAAAAAAAACTTAAAAATAATATTTGTTCATAGAATATGGTTAGTTTTTAAAACAAAAAAAATTGAAAAATATTTCAAGTTCCAAAACCTGGTTAGATTTTGGGTGAAATTTTTTCTTCCACTCACAAAACTTCAACTTTTTTCAAATAAAATGCATGTTCAAACCCAACTTCAACTTTCAAAAATAAAATTTCAACATAACTTCAAAAACTCATTTCAAATCTATATCCAAACGCTAGCTTAGATTCATCTCAACCCTTTGCGTCTGCAACTCACAAAACATACTCCCTCCGTTTCAATTTATGTTAACCTATTTTCTTTTTAGTCCGTGTTAAAAAGAATGACTTTTTTCCTTATTTGGAAACAAATTACCTTTACACAATATTTTATAGCCACACAAAATATATGTGCCTCATTTTACACCACAAGATTCAAAGTCTTCTCTCTTTTCTTAAACTCCGTGCTCAATCAAATGTGTTCACATAAATTGAAACGGAGGGAGTAATAGATTACCACAAATCAACAAGATAAACAATAGATGCAGTCACCCTGGACAATCCATGTCCACTTTTCTCATTTGTTTGTCACAGCTAATAGTAAAAAGAACTCAGCATGACAAGTGGGATCCCTAGTGACATGTCCAAGTAGTCAAAAATTTTCAAAGTAATTCTCTTTTTTTTTTCCTTAATNTCATACTACCACTAAGTAATTTTATTTCGTAATACATCTTCAAAATACTCTTTAAATCTCCTTGAGCAGGAGGTGAAATGAAAGAAATGAAATCTCAGACACATATGTATGTTATATACAAGATGTGACAGTTGCAGAGTCATCCTTGTCTATTTTCTCTTGTAAGCAATATTGCTTCATTCACAAGTCTCAACCAGACGTGGATCAGATTGCCTGAGGAATGGAAATGAGTTTCATGAAGATGAACTGCAGACTAGTTCATCAAACAAGGAGAACAAACTGAGAGTGCTGAACACGCCGAGGAAGGTAACTGATGGCACAGTTCAGAATGACTAAAATTGATGTTTTTCTCAAAACCAGACTTAAGGGAGCCGTTGTTTATTGTAAGAGTAAGTTGGGATCCTTCTGATGTCGAGTAAGCCCCCCACTTGTCGGCCTACAGGTTAGACACAATACAAATTTTAGCATAACAGAGAATCAAACGTGTTTTATAGGCACCAAGCATCCAGTACTACAATTCTAAACATAGCCTCAACAATTTTATGTTGGATTGCCTACTTATCTATTTTATTCATGAAATTTCTCTGCACAACGCTATCAATTGCCACATCAAGAAACTCCTATACCTAAGTTTATACAGTTGATTTCATGTTTTAAACATTTTAAGCATCTCTGATGCTTGACAAGAATGTTCAGCAATAACATCCGGAGCTATTGCGGATCTTCATATCATAGTTTCTTTATGACTTTTTGAAGTCCAAAAGCACAAAGCATTTTGTAGGAGCAATAACGACGATAACCAAGGAAAAGCTTCCTTCCCCAGTTCTGGCCATAGTGCTTGAATAGCTAATATTTCATCACCGTTACTTGACAAATGGACAAGTAAGTTGACAAATCAAGGGACAGAATAATCGAGCATTTGGAAAGAAAATTATACAAGAACAAGTACATAGAAAGAGAATGATATACTTACAGTCCAGTAAACACTTTAATTGTGTCATAGAGAAACCATTGCAGAGTCACAACAGGCCCCACAATTGTGATTCGAACAGGAAGACTTCTCGTAAACAAATTAACAAGCCCAATCTTCTTTATGGCCTGAAAGCATCATATCAAATTTTTTCCAACTAATTAGATATATCAAATATACTTGAGTACCATGAGAGTGTTTGATAGAAGTTTTACCTCCCTTATTGTGTCGGCCTTTTTGTTGTAAAGAAATGAGACAATATTGTCAGCAGGATTAGATATTACAGTGCCAACAGATCCAGCAACATAGCCTGATAAGCATGTTATGCCAAGTTGCTGGGCTCTTGAGCAATCTTCCTTCCTTCTCTGTATGACCTTCCGGTACATCAGATCTACCGAGTGCTCAAATGTCGAAAACATGATCATGGAAACTGCAAACAGAAGAGGAAGCATAAAGTCAAGTCATAATTACAAACTCCAAAAGCAGAAAGCCAAATATTGGTAACTACAGCTGGTAATGTGATAATCATATTGTTAAGGGCATCTATATACAGCAAGATTTCAAAGGCAAATATGATTAATAAGCACTTTCTAGAAATTGTAAAGTAGCCACAAAATTCAGTACCAAGTGCAGACTTGTAAAGTAGCCGACAATAAAGAAAGCCAGAGAGTAAATGAAGAACTGAGGCAACAAAAAAGATCCTACGCAGCAGCCACAAGATGCAAATGCCACTTTTCAATGGCAAAGAACAGATAAATTGAAGGGCAAGACAAATTTACAGAATACACAAAATTCACACCGATTACTCCATTCCATCCCCACCCAAGGGACACATATGAGTAAACTTTACCAGGAAAGTCCCAAAACACTTCTGAATGACAATATGAAGGAAACTATAGGGGAGATGGGAGGGCTAATAGAAAAAAGCTAAATTAAGTAAAGATTTTACATGGAAGGTTACGCCCCCAAAGTGGAAAGAGTCCCTTGAAAAAGCTACAGTGAAGCAAAAACAAACTTCAGCATCAATGTGCAAGGTGGACAGCAATAGAATAAACACTGCATACTTCTTGGACTTTACCCTGAAAGACCTTCATTCACATACAGCTTGCGAAACCCATCAGTTAATCCCCTGGCAAAATGAGGCTGAGTCTGGACCTGAACTTTGACAGCTTCAAAGGGACAGAGTGCCACATCAGCAAATACTTGAGCTGATGCACTGCTGAGGAAGAATATAACACTCCTTTGTTGATCAACCAACAAGTCAGTATAGAACCTTTTAAAGTATTCATAAAGACCAAATTTACATCCTCCTTGAACTCCATATCCAAATAGTTTCCCTGACCAACCTCTCCAAAGAGCAGAATGGCCTTGCTCTCTCCATAGAGTTATAAAACCTGATGAAATGCCTCGATATTTGAGAGGGTCCACCTAAAGCAAATAAAGATATTATCAGCACATACCAGATTGGGAAAGTTACTTCTTTTCTTTCTCCCTTTAATTTTAGTTTGTCGGTCATGAGGAGTGCCGCAAGGAGTTTTTCAGATTTTCGTAAAGACAAAGGGGTGTCTTCTAGTGCAAAAATTAGTAAAGAACTCATGAGGTTCTTCAGCTGGAAATCAAGACAAGGATCATAAGAACAGAATGACTACAGGCACATATCCAGCACCAGGAGATTTTAGTTATCAGAGCAGATATTGGAAAACAAAGTAAACATCTAAGCATCAGACAGAAGAACAAAAGCACGACACTAGAAAGAATCTTATAGTTGGAGTTTGTTTCTGAACATGAAGGAGCGATTAATTAGTGAAAGTTTGCAAAATAGGTAATTTGACCCCCCTT